AGGAAGAAGCGCAATAACGTCTTTCCCCTTGATAAAATTCCCCAAACTTTCTCTTTGTTCCGGCTTTAAATCCTCGATCTCGGGAATCGTTGCCAACACAGAATGTATGTCTTTGTCTACATCCATCTCAACCGCTTTGTTTACTGTGACCCAGACAGACGCTTGAGTTTGATGTCATGGCTTCACAACTCTTCGCTGATTGGCCAATGCACAGTTTACAACTTCCGGGGATCTTACAAACCGTCTAGTGTATTCCGATTCCTGACCTAGTCGCTAGAGAGAAATTAAATTGAACAGAGGCACTAGGTGGTGCCAGCCTGGCTAACTATAGGCTCCATTACAGGTCAGATCTGTGGAAAGACAAACCTATTCACAGAGCGAATTACTGTATTTTTGAGCAACAAAAACATCCATAATGACAAATGCTAGATAGATGTGTTTAATGCCATACCATGGAACAGGCAAAGCAATAACATCTTCATGCAGACAAGCAGGTGACGGACCCTCCACCAGAAAAGTTGCGCAGTACCCCTTTAATGTGTAAATGGTCACATTTTTATCCAGCGCTATTCTACCTTCAAGGCACTCAAAGCGCTTTACATCAAAGAACCGCTCACCCATTCATCCATACATACAAACTTTGCACATCCCATTAAACCTGTAACATTTTTGCTATGATGACTGGAGAGCTAACAAATATGGCATTTAATCTTGGAGCTAGACAAGAAATAATAAAAAAACAGTTAATTTTGGAACATGTAGGTGGTCTGACAGATAAACTCATTGTATTTCTTATTGCCGTCTGTGTAAAAATCATTTCAGGGTGGCATGGCATTTTTGTGAAGCAATTTTCTTACATTTGTTTATTTGGCCATGGAACAGTCTGGTGTCCTTGTCCTCCCACACAAACCTGCTCATACCAGCTGTCTCTCTCAAGCCAGACAGAGCCAACAACCGCTTTGCCTTTGTTACGCAAGATTTCAAAAGGACAAATGCGGTTAAATTATACAGTCAAATTTCTCACAATAGAAAAAGTCATGTTGAAAATGTCTAGTAATCTGCAAGTACCTCGAAATAAAAACTAATTTGATGAATGTATATCGACCCACAGGAACTGGTTTCTTCTGCATTTGACCCAACCTACAGTATAATGCTGACTGAACAATCGAATAGTCATACTGTGGTGGGTGGTGTATCGTCTACAAGATATTATCATTGAAACTACGCCAAATTTTAAACGTCCTCTATTACGCAAAATTCATTCTTGTGAGCTTTAAGTCATACTGGAATGTTGTTATCGCCTCAAAAACATACCTGGAGTTGTGTTTTGTTTCATTCACACATGTTTGAATAATCGTGTCTATATCTCCATTCCTCTGTTCCACTTTGTGATGTCATGTGGTGGGCCTTTTACCTTTAGTTCAGTAGAGATTGGCAATTCCAAACAAATTCAAAACTTTATTCAGTGCTTTTTTGTTGAGTTTTGACAACTAATGTGGGTCAAAGTTGTTAAAGTTGTTTAAAAGTCAGGTCATTAAGAAAGTTGCCGATACGATACATACCTCGATACAGTGCACTTTCGATACGATATATTTCAAATCAATTCGATACGGTTCAATAAAAATAAAAGCTAAATCAGGGCTGTGATACTATTACTATTATACTACTCTTTGTTAAACCACTTCTTGTGCAAAGTAAATATGAAACACACATATTTTAATAATCAAAACTGTGAAAATGTAAAATGTGTCACATACAAGAGTTAAAATAAAAATACAAGAGTAAAATATGCCAAAAAATACTCTTGGCGATTTACTGATACAGCAGCCCACTCTATTAATACTGTATCATCACATTAAGCGATACGATATATCAATATTTCGATATTTTTGCACACCCCTAGTTAAAAGTGTAAGAGGGCCAAGACTGTACCTTGTGGCACACCTGTGGAATTACATACCGTATTTTCCGAGCCACGCGTAAACACGCATGGAGCAGACAGCGACTGCGCATTGAAACACACCTGCGGCCACACTCATCACTCCACACCGACGAGAAATGGAACGGAGGAACGAACCAAAAAAACGAGTGCAATGCAACTGAACAACTGAGTCACTGCGAACACGCCAACAATCCAGCGGTCCCAGACAGTACCCTCCCTACACGCCACAACTGAACAAAGCCCAGAGTCACCGTGAACGTGCCAAACAAAGTCCGACTGACCCATCCAACTGTTGTGTTTCGTTTAAAGTCCGGTGCTGTTTATATGTGAAAAAAGTTCAAAAATAGACCATTTAATGATGTCTTATAGTCCAGAGCGCCTAATAGCCCGGAAAATACAGTATGTTTATTAAGTGACTTGCACTTTGGTCTTTTCAAATTGTATATGCAAATGGAGACTGTTTTATATTTTTATAGTACCCGAATAAATAAAGTTTTGACTGGTTATAGACAGTGTTTTTTATTTATTGCACTTCAAAATGAGTTACCGTGGCCTTGGAGAAACTACTTGAACTTTTGTGTACATTTTACTGCATTCCTGCCATTGTTTTCAACTCTTTAGATTCTTTAAAGCTCTTGTGTTCTCCACTTGAAACCATTTGCCTGCCCTCTGCATTTGCACGTGCATTAATTCCTGCTTGTTATCTGGCTTAGATTTAATAAGGCGGTTGTGGATGGCTGGAGTAATCAAGTTGGAAAGCTCAGCCCTCTCTCTCCGCACATCCACAACTGATAGCTGCGCAGACATATCGGAGAGGATTAAGCTAATGTGATGGCAGAGGCACCTAGCGAGCAAGACCCCCACAGGCTAATATCTAGAGACAGCCATTGGCACCCGGGGAATAACTTGTCAGGACCCCGCTATAGGCAAATAGTGTGTATATTAATCCTTTATGTAATGGCCTTGACGTGATTTCACTCTTGTCTCCGCGCGCAGCTTTCAGGATAGTCATAAGTCTTTTTAATCATTGACGCAAAGCAGTCCCTCGAGGATTTTTTGCAGGAATTATTGCATTCCCTAAAAACCGCATAATTCTACCTTCATGGTGAAGAACTGCCAAGCTATTTGCATATGTTTTTGGTCACTGAATTTTTATGAGCGGTTGCCAGATGAGCTCTTTGTTTTGTCACTGTAAAAAAAAAAAAAAAGTCTTCAAATCACATCCCAGGTCGTTTTTAGTGAGGCATGACAGCGTTGGATTCTGAGTTGTATTGTGTTTGGACTGGTCTGGAAACAGCTGATAAAACGTAAACTGTGGTGAAGCAGTACGTATCACGTCAGCTTATTGTCACTGTGATAAACCCTACAAAGATGATAGGGAATACACAGAAAACATGCATCCCGTACAAGTTGGAAAATAGGAATTAATGCAAAGGTGCAAAGTGTATGCAAATCTTGATGGTGGAGTTGTTTTGGGGATTAGGGATTAACAAAGAACAAATGAGGACAAATATTTTTAGTATAATTTCCAACTTTTTTACTTTGAGTTTTGACAAGTAATGTGGGTCAAATTTCTTCAAGTTGATTAAAAGTTTAGCGGGGCCAAGACTACCTCAGAGTCGGGGACTTGCAAGTCGTGACTTGGACTCAAGTCAGACTTGAGTCACTATTTTTAGGACTTCAGCCTTGACTTGATAAAATGGACTAAGACTTGGGACTCAATTTGGACTTGAAGGTCACTGACTTGAGAATACTTGATGCTTCTAAAAAAAAATCATGTTTTTAGAAAATACTTTTCTCTTTACAGTTTATAAATGTGGTGCTTAATTTTACAAACTGAAACATGTCCCTCCCACTTCTCTGTTTGTTACTTTGGATGTACCTGAAGTACTGTGAGATGGTATCATCAAATATACTACAGTAATATAAAGTACAAAACAGTAAAACAGAGGGAACTGCATAGAACATGATCCTTCCATTTCAGTGCAGACACACGACAAAATAACTCTTGTTAAGCACTTTTAAATCTGAATTCTTTCTGTTCTGACTGTAACGATTTGCACTAAGATCTTGTTAAGACATTTAAAAAGGAAAAATTTGCATTTCTACAACTCCTATATAAATACTCATATATTAATATACCATGATTTTTTAAGTACAATTTAGTTTAAAATTCATATAAATTGCAAAAATCTGATACTTTGGGTTAAAGCCTTGAAATGACTTGAAGCTCAAAGCAGACGACTTGGACTTGACTTGGACTCATGAGCCAGTGTCTCGAGACTCAACTTGGACTTGAGGTCAAAGACTTGAGATGTACTTTAGACTTGCAAAACAACGACTTTGTCCTACCTCTTCTGTACTTTGTGACACACCTGTGGTATTACATAAAATGTTTAAACAGTGACTTGCATTATGGCCTTTTCAAATTGTATAAGATGTGTATTGTATATTAATATTACCATTTTTTTAAGTTGCTATTGTTTGGAGTCGCCATTTTATCATATACTGTAGTTCAGTTTTCTATCAAACCACACTTTATTGCTGTAGAATGGACTCTATCAATTTTCATTACCTTGATCAACATTTATTTTTTGCTTTTGAACTTTGGGATTATCAATGGATAAACAAGAAAAACTATACTTAATATAATTTCCAACTTGTTTCAATGCATTTATGTTGAGTTTTGAAAAGTATTGCAGGTCAAAGTTGGTTAAAAGTTTAATGGGGTCAAGACTGTACCTTGTGGCCCACCTGCAGAATTATATAAGTTGTTATAACAAGCTGTTTTTCCATTTTAACTTTTTATACTACTTTTCAAACAGTATATAAAAAGTCAATTTATTGTCATTTTTGAGTAGCTATTGGTTTGGGTTGCCATTTTATAGTTCAGTTTTCAGTTCATACTTCTTTCTCGCTGTGGAATGGATTGTGTCAAATGTGCCTTGATCTCCATTTATCCTTTACGTTTGGACTTCTGCCATCTCCGGTCTTGTTGTGAACATTTATCAGCCCCCGGTGACCACTCGACTCACATCTCTCTTCCTCTGTTCCGCAGGGCTGCTCATAGGATCCGGATGTGCCCTCTATCCTCTGGGATGGGACAGTGAAGAAGTGAAACAAACCTGCAACAACAGCTCCGACCAGTTTAAGCTAGGTGAGACATCCGAACTGACAAATCCATTACTCACGAGCATTCGGAGGTCAAAATATGTTGCCTCACAGACGATTTATAAGATTGAATGTGTTGGTTCCGTTAAAAGTGTACTATGTAACTTTTTGGTTTGGGGTTTGTCACCTATTTGTTTCTATGGACATATCACTGCTCTGTCTGGAATGTTCCATAGTATGACTTTAAACAGCTCTACCTTACATTTATTCAATTCAATGTTGTATTACATCTCAAAAATACCTAGAAAAACAGATATTCTGACTGTGAGCGGAGTTGCCTCTCCACAGATCTGACCTGTAACTTGTTCTGGTTTCATCTCCATGAAGATAGAAAGGTTTAATGCCATACTGTGAAACATTCCAGTCTAAGCTACTGTATAACATTTCCATGGAGAAAAGAATTTAACAGATCCTCTTCCAGTAAAGTTACACAATGCATTTTAGCATAGATCAGACGTTTTCAATAGGTGAAGCCCACCTCCCCTCGGGGGCGCCAAAGAGCCACTGGGGAGGCACGACACACGGACTGAACCAGGACTAAACTAGGAGGACTAAACCTGAACCAAGACTGAGTGTCTGGACGGGCCCGGAGGTCTGCTCACATAGACTGTCGGGTGACCTCGGGCGAAAGGACCGGCACAAAGCTCCATGCCCCACGGAGCTAATCGCAGCCATCACCTGATCATGCTTTGCAGACACCCTGCTCCACGGGCTCGGGGTTCTCCCTCTCACTCTCTCAAGTCCAAGATTAGTCCTGGTTTAGGTCCTGGTTTAGTCCTGGTTTAGTCCTGGTTTAGTCCTAGTTTAGTCCTGGTTTAGTCCTGGTTTAGACCTGGTTTAGTCATGGTGATGTTAAAAGTTGCCTTAATTGGACCTGCATGAAGTTGGAAATTATTTGTTGTTGCAAAAATCATAATCATAAATACAATATTAAAATATATATTATCAGTTGTTATTAAAACTCATCATTGCCAGGAACACAAAAGATGCATTTACTTCAAAGGCCTGTGTGGGCGAGGGCAGCTGGATGGGAATTTGGGCAGTGGGGAGAAGCTCGGTCTTTGGGGAGGCTCACATTCATCCAATTTGAAAACCCCTGGTCTAGATTAAATTTGCTATTAGCATTTACTGCTCAAGTAAAATGATTCACAATACTCCTCTTTCTTGTCCTTTAAAAGAGCATTCAAATGAGTAAATCACATATGACGGCTAATGTTTTCTTGCCAAGATCTAATATTATTTTGCAGCTGAATTTTCTCAAATCTTATTATTTCTATATAATTAATCTTACATATTTATTTTTAAAAAATGACAGAATTGTTCAGACTTTGGATCATTGCAGCTGTTTTTCTCTCCATGGGTTCCAGAGTGATGAAAAATAAGCACAGTTGCCATAGTAATTAACAATTGAAAACAACATATGACATCTTGTGAATGATTTAAAAAAAAGTTCATAAACTGAAACAGGAGGCAGAAACATGAATAGCTAAACATTTGTGGTCTTATGTGACACTCGACTTATCTCCATACATCCACTTAACAGTTCTGTGGGCACATACCTCAGTTATCATTTGCCTTGGTGTTATAAATACACCGCATATGTGGGAAAGTCAACAAAACTCCCATATTTCTGAAGTTTTTCCGCTGGTATTAATGTTAGCCCAGAATAGTCCGGAGAAATATTTGCCCTCTCTGTATTCCGCTGGTATTTCCTCACATAGAAAGCCCTTATATTTGTCTTTAGGCCTGCACGGAGATCATTCATCTTGAGTAGAGGGTGCTCGCTTCTATTTAAGACGTTTTCAGTCATATGGCACAGAGACAGTAGTGCTGCTGAAAACTGGTAATGAGATAGGCTAATGATAGGCTAATGTCCCTACACTTTATGTTTAGCCACTTAATGATCACATCCATTTATTAGAGTTTGGATTTGGGGGAGATTAGACATCTGGATGACAATTAGAAGTTGTTTACAGTGTAATTGGAAATATGATGTTCAATGCTGATTACAGCCATTTACATTTTCTGATATGTAAAGGAATGGCTCTACTACTTGTTTGTTTGCACGGATGTTATCTTTGTCTGGAATGTTCCACTGTGTGGCATTAAACTTATCTAGCTTTTTTTTTTTTTTTAACAAAGGTTTTATTTATTTCTTTAATGCATTCTTACTGTGATCTGGGTTGCTTCTCACAGATTTGGCCTGAAATTTAGACGGATGGTGCTTTCTGCTTGTCTCCATAGAGATGGATAAATTTAATGCCATACTGTGGAACATTCTAGGCAAAGTAAAGTTACAAAGGAGCAACTTTAATGTGGTGTAGTAAGACCAATAATTTTAAAGTTTGAAAATATTGTGCAGTTGTTTTCTATCACAGACACACACACAAAAAATGAAATAAAGTAATGTATTATTATTATTCATAATTTATTATGTCAATCTGTCAATAATAAATTGGGCTTTGAGATAACATGCATCAAATATTTACATTAATTGAACATACAAGTTCACTGTAGGGATGGTCATGATTAGTCAATTAATCAATAATTGATCATTAAGAATTTCATCAATCACGTTCATCATTAATCGACAAACTGAGTGGAGGTTGCTGTGCGTAGAGTAGTGTAAGGAGACGAGGCTGCATCTGACAGCGCAAACACCGGAGTTGCGGCCTCACAGTCCCACGTTTAGGCTCTGGCCCCTCCTTGGAGACACTGTAATACTCAGTGAATGTGTTTACAGCACATCAGTGTCCGGGTATGATCAGGTTTTTTGAGTATCCCAGTTTCGTCATGGTGCATGTAAACGCAGTGTCCCGGTTACTGCAACATAAAGTTGAGTGCGCATGTCTCCAAAAGACAAAAGATTTTCAGTCTTTTCATCACAACAGTAGCCAAAATAAATAAAGTGACCAACATAAATAAAGTGAATGGAATGACTGTTGAATAAAGAGCTGCGCTAAACCAGCACATGTATGATCTCTGAAAACATGAACCATCTCCAACGCGACACACACACAGAACAGACTCACCATCATCCTCATTGACATCCCTCTGTCACAGAGAGAACACTCATATTCCACTGAGCCTTGCCCTTTAGTCCAACAGAAGCTGAAACACATCAGCGCACAAGGAAAGAGCTGTTTTTTTCAGCACTTATAGTTTATAGTTTATGCAAATGAGCCATGCCATTTTAAGTTTCATTTCTGTAAAATGTAGTAAAGCTGCATTAAACTCATTATCATGTCAAACGGGTTGATGTGGCTCTACAGTGGTGATGGTTTATATATGTTGTAAAGTTTGAGTTTATTTATGCAGATTAGTAATAGTAATAGTAATAATAATGATAATTTTAATATAAAAACATTAATGATGAATCAAAAATCGATTGTTAATTGTCCCAATGATCGATTAAGAAAATTTAATTGAATGCCCATCCCTATTTCAATGTGTATGAAATAGGCCAATATGTGGACTCTTTAGCGTACTGGTTATTGGTTTTACATCTCCAGCACAAGCCGATATTTTGTTTTGGTCCATCTGCCTAAAAAATACACAGAAAAGCTTTATTCTAACACTTGTGAAGAGATAACTGCACAAAACTCCACAGCGTTCTTAAAAGTTTGTGGTAAAAAAGGACTGGGGGTGAGTTTTTAATACATTTAAATTACAAAATTTGGGGAAAATTATAAAAAATCGGCCCAAAAATATCATCAGATCTTACTAACCATCAGCTGCTCTGGATTCTAAATCAGTATTGGCATTGGTCATGAAAAACCCATATTGGCCGATCTCTAGTATGAACTGGGCAACCTGAACTTACAGTATGGAATAAAAATGAGACATGTTTATAGTTCAGGGTATAAAAAGTCAAGGTTAAGCCATGGTTTCTTATCAGAGGACTTTAAGCAGGGTGGTGGTGGTGCTTTCGAGAGATCTGCCCGCACACTGCCCTGAGGATGGACTGGGCTGGAGCCGGTGTCAGTAAATGTCACAGCAATATACCGTTTTTTCTTTTATTATCCGTCATAAACCAATAGGAGAAGGTCAGCGGCCACACAAAGCACTGGAAGCACTCCTACGCGCACTCTCTCCATCCCAAGTTATAATAATGTAAAGGTCAAAGTTCAATCTGACACCGAGTACATTTTATGACACTGTGGTCTTTAATATGACTTGACTGATTCATGTGTAGTTCAGAATATGTCAAAGTACCTGCAGTTTCTTAACATTTTTAGCTTTTATACTGATGCAAGATTAATCGCAGTCGAAATTTTAATAGACGCAGTTAGCAAATAGCAAAGGTTGAAAGTGTGTATGTGTATGCAGCGTAAATTCCTCCACAAACAACAGAATCTCCAGTTTTTTTCTGCATAAAAACTGCAGACCTTGTAGTTTACATCTGCACAAACATATTCTGAAATATGATTCTTGTATTAGTTTATCAGATCATATTTCAGTCTTTTTTTGTCAATTTAAAAGGCCCAAATTACACTATTTTCTAGGGATGTAACAATATCCAAATCTCTCGGTACGATATTTTCACGATATGCATCTCATGGGTCTATTTTTGTACACCCACATCCGCCCGCACCCGTGCAGTACAGCACCGCATCCGCCCGTTAACCCGTGATTACATCAAAGTTAAACCAGCACCTGTCCGAACCCGTTAACATTCCACCTGTTACCGCCCATGCCCGTGATAAATCACACACAAATTAAAAGCATTCTAACTGAAGCGTCCACCAGAATACGAGTTGAAAAGTTACGACTTCAAGAATTATAACCACAAAATAAAATGAAACGGTTACGCTTTCTTCAGTACGAATACGAATTCACAGACGAGACTCGACTGTCATCACTCCACAGGAATTATTTACTGAGCAGAAGAAGCATTGATCAAGATGTCGGACTTTTGCGCTGAATATGCCATGGACTGAACCAGGTCTAACCCAGGACTAACCTAAGACTGATTCCAGGACTGAG